TGCCGAGCAGGCACGTGCGTGCCCATCGCCGGCGCGCATTAGCGCGCGTCCATGGCTGGGGCGCACGCGCGCGGCCATGGCCGGCATGCACGCGCGCGCGCCCATCGTCGGCACGCAAGCGCGCGCCGCGTCCTTACCCGGCGAGCACGCCGCGTCCGTACCCGGCGCGCACCCGCGCGCGTCCACAGCCGGGGCGCACCCAAGCGAGTTCGTACCCGGCACGTACCGGCGCGCACCCGCGCGCGTCCACTGCCGGCACTGACAGACCCTGACAGACGGGCGTGCTGCCGTCGGCGGTCCTGACAGATGAGCGGCGGGCCCGGCTCCCGCAGCTCCGGCAGCGGGCGGCAGCTCCGGTGACTGTTCCGGCAGCTCCGGCAGCGAGCGGCGTCTCCGGCAGCGCTCAGCAGCGGCGCCAAGCAGCAGCAGCGGCTGAGCCAACAGGCGGCCGCGGAGGCACGCCCCCCCCCCCCCCTTTGCACATTGTTCGTCCATGGAGATGTCTGCAAGCACGCCCATTGTTGAGAAGGCACGTGCATCCATGGCTGAGCACTGAGCACGCACGTGCGACCCCTTTGCACATTGTTCATCCATACATATCAATATAATTTACCTTATGATTAGTGTGAGTCTTACAAAATCTTAAACTCAGAAATACCACAAGGCAGGCTGCCTGAATGAGTTGCTAATATGAACATAATGAACATTATACATTAGTGCAGTACCTATAAGCATCCATGCTGTGTGAAGGACTTGGCCCTCACGTTCATTCGTTTGGTGATTGCACATGGTGGCATGTGTAGTGTGTACCAATTGGCAATTGTTCTCCCTAACCCTTCTTACAACTTTGACTAGCAAGTAGAAGCTGGCAAAATGCAAGGAGCTTACAAAGCATGCCTATATGTAGATAACTGAGGATGATTCTCTCAATTGAAGCATGATCCGCACTCAGCAGCTTCTGTTCTGTTCCACAAACTAAAACTGAAATGCCTCAATTTTCCTCAAAATATATTCATTTATAACTCATAAACAACAAAAATATACATTAAGTAGGTACCAGGGCAATAAAAAACATACAAGTTACATATTTTTTCATGTACCGTCCTTTCACAGCAGCAATATGTAGAAACGCACCAAGACGTTCACGGAGAGCCCACCCATAACAAACTATAGTTGAAGCCGGGGCTCTGCTGCAGCAGCAGGGGAGACGTACAGGACACAGAGGTCATGTCACAACATCATGTTGTACAACCTGTTGTTCGAAAAAAACAGATCAACATAGATCTTGAAAAACTGTAGGTAGCGCTTTCTTCAGTCACTTAGGTAAGCTTTCTCGCAAGACGTTACATTAGATTGACCACTCTTGACAAAATAATCAGATTGAAACTTAGCTCTTGTGCCTGATGCACTTACATTTCAATTTATTGAAATAAAACACTCAAATTTACCCTTGAAAATTGTTGACATTTAAATGATATTAATCAAGATTTGATGATCAGCAAACAAGCTCAAGCTATTCAAATCACACCCAAATCAAAATAATAACTTTGGCAATGTTGATAACTCTTGCTGTCTTATTGAAAAGCAAATCTTCAATTTGTTCATATCCAAATTCAATGCCAAGCACTAAAATCTTGTTGCAAGGCCCTAAAAACAACAGACAAAAACAAAACAGACAAGGCCCGTCTTGTGGAAATCGACAGTGCGGTGCGGCGGCCTTGGCGAAATTTCCCAAGGCTGCTCTTTGTTTACATTTTAGTGATGGGCCAACTTGGCCGCCCAAGTACTTGTTTTGCGTGAGTAAGTACAATTTTGTCAATTTTGAAACGGCTATATCTCGCAAATTTTGGTACCGATTTACATTTTATGCATATATTTAGAATCGGCAGAGTCTGGGGAGTTCATTGATTGGAAATTTATGCCAATTCCTTTCAATTTTTAAACCCTGATAATCCCTTTAAGGCGTTGAGAACCGAGTTAATTTCTAATACCGTGCCTTAACTTACCAGCAACAGCAATCTATCTACGCCCTACGGTGGCAAGGGAGACTGTGAAAGAAGCGTAAGATGGATTCTAAACAATTCTTTTGTGATATACTGAAGGGCAAAGTGCAGAGAAGAGCGTACAAGTCCTGTTTTGTGCCAGGCTGTTGCAGTAGCACTTATGAAACTCCGAAAACGATCTTCGTTCATGTCCCGAACAACATTACCCTGAGGAGATGATCGTCTGCAATAGCAGGAAGAGCTGATGCAAGTACTTTGAAATCCACTATCAAGTCGGTGCTATTGTTGTAATGATCACTGTGAGGTGAGATATTTTGTGCAAGGGCTGAGTGTAATGCCCAGGAAAAGACCTCCATTCGCCCCCTGACCGGTCAGGGTTATAAAATTTGAGTGGATGGCGGTCCGTTTGGGGTTCAGATGTCAATTGTATTTTGTTACTGTCAAACAATACATGTTATGCTGGCAGCGAATGTGTGTAACGTCGTTTTTCGAAACAGAAGTTAGAACTGTAACGGCAGAGTGCTTGCTGGTCTCATCGTAAGTAGGTATTGTAAGTGTTGTAAGCAAAAGCATTGTCAATATTGTAAGTATTGTGAGCATTGATATATGGTAGATATCACCTCACATGATCTCGGCTCAGATAACCCTCTCCGGTGTCCCTGTCATGGCACCTGGATCATTACAGATAAGATAATTTGTCATAATTCTTAAAGAATTGGGTGGTTTTGACTCGTTTACTCGAGGTGCAGGTCGCATTTCAATACTTTTCCATAGGCTTGCAATGTAAAGGTCACGACTCTGACCTAACCTCAGGTCACAGCTCAAAAATTCTGAAATATACAAACGACACATACTGCAGGTACTGTTTTGAAGACTTGATGAGAGGAAATAACTTCGTGAAAAACTCAAGCTCTGACGTGTTTGCAAACTTTTCTGAGGTGGGGTCAACAAACCCGCTCTGGTTACCTGACCTGACCTGACCCGGCATTTTTTTTTTGCTGAGATGTGCGCAATGAGCATTTAGGAAAAGTCACCAAATATGAGCTGAATGTCTCGCGGCGTTTGGCAATTGTACAAGAAAATCCTGAAAGGTCTCCCCGTCCGAAATAGGGTTAATGTGTACATATATGAAGAGTTGCAGATGCCAAACATACCCAGATCTAAGACTGCAGTTCCCAGCGCCGCTGCAACGTTTTTAAAACAAACATACATAGGACATACAAACATGTTTATTTGCATCTGTTTTGGATAATAGCAACTCATGGCGCCATCGCCCGCGATAACTGTTAGGATTTGAGATATATTTTTATTTAGGCCATTAGTTTGGCTGTAATGTTTATTAATATTAGTTGGGCGGAGTTTGGTAGTTTTTTATTTAACTTGTGGTATGTTGTGCTGATTGCGGGTTGTTCAAACCTTTCAAATGTAAGGACCTTATTGAACTCAACCTTACCCCTACACTACCCTACATACGACTGGACGCTTTCCAAGCCCACAAGCATCACGACGCCGAGATGGCATGTAGCCGGGAAATCACCCTCGCCATCTGCTCTAGAGCTAATCGGTGTGGGGCGGCGTGTGGGGCGCCGCTTAGCCTATGGGGGTGCACTTCTAGTGGATGGGGGACGGGGGTGCACCTGCACCCCTTTCATATGGAAAGTTACTTCCCTGATTACAGCTCCCCGTATTGCACCTAATCAGGGAACGGCCAGCAAACGAAGGAACTATTTCTGGATGACAGGCGAATAACCGCTCACGCAAGGAGCGGAGCTCCGCCCCGTCCAAAGTGGCCAACAAAGCAGAGACAGAGGCAGCATCACATCTTCCATCAAAGAACTGGTTTCTGGCTTGGAAGATGAGCTCCATCTTTGCATCCGAGTCGGTGCTGTCAGGAATCAGCTGGTCTAATGGAGTGAGAGTAGTGAGACGACTAGCTATTGTATCAGAGCTGCCTGGTCTTCGTAGCATTTGCACCGATTCTTCTCGATCGGACTCTGAATTCTGTCCCTCCTGCGTATTACTTGAGGCATTGCTATGTAGCTAAGTCTTTGGCAGAGTTTCATTATCCATGCTTTGCAAACAGTGCCATAACAACACAGTTAATTAATCACCAAGCTTCTTTGCAAGTTCCAATACAGTTAAATCGCACGCGATTTGAGTGCAAAAATCAAGAAAAGTGCCAACTTGTTTCCGTAAAATATTTTGAATATTGACCTAAAAAAATGAGTCATTTCCAGATAAAATAACAGCGAAATCAGTTTTCGCTTGCTAATAAAACTCACAGATATTGAAGCTCCATTATTAAAGGAACATTTTAGTATATGCCATTCTTGATAAAACTTCTTAGCCACGCAATACCAACGCAAAATAAAGAGACACTGAAAACACGACCAATCACTCCGATTTACCATTGGAAAATACATAGAAAATGTATGTCTCAACTGCGCCAAATATACAGACAGTTATATACCTACATGTGACGTCATGATTAGCCCGACCAATCAGAAGCAAGTTGTTTTCAGCCACAAATAATTAATTTCTGAACTAACTAGGCATTTTTTTTAACAAAGTGATTTTAAATTAAATCATTAAAAATTCTGAGCTTTTTTATTTTACCAAAACATACAGAGCATGCAGATAGGTCCCAACCCTATTGATCGTCTGCGAAATCATTGTGCGCCAACGAGTTTCCTCAGTAATTCAGCTACCAATTCTCGTGCTGTGTTTAAAGAGACGTTTACAGTGAAGGTGGAACTTAGAAAAAAGAACCATAATGGCCTATATCCCAGCGATACGTCATCAAACTTCGAAAATGGACGTGAGTCAGTTTTATACGATGTCCAGTTTGCGTCCAAATTTTCAGCAAAATTAGCGGGGTGTCGTATTTCGACGTCTACTTTGACGTGGAAAGCCCTCCCCTCGCCAAGACCGTCCTGGCGCCCGCCGTATAGTCTGCACGTACATACCAGCGCGCCGGTATAGGTGTCCGTGGCTCACCTGCAGTGCAATCACGGCCCACGTGTAGCCCGTGTAGCCGTAAAAGAATCCGTGCTCGGCGATCGCAGCGCCGTCGTTCAGGGCCGCCGCCACCGCGCCGAACGGTACAGAGAAGAGCGCTGCAGCCAGCGGGCAGTCATCGTCAGTCCGGGAACAGAGACAGTCACTCCGAGGGCCGAGGACAGCCAGTCCGGGGGCAGAGACAACCGGTCCGGAGACAGGGACAGGAACACCCAGCCCGGGGACAGGGACAGGAACACCCAGCCCGGGGACAGGAACAGGAACACCCAGCCCGGGGACAGGGACAGGGACACCCAGCCCGGAGACAGGGACCGCCAGGCCGGGGGCAGGGACGGGGACAGTCCGGGAACTTGGGACAGGAACACCCAGCCCGGGCACAGGGACAGGAACAGGGGCACCCAGCCCGGGGACAGGGACAGGGACAGGGACAGGGACACCCAGCCCGGGGACAGGGACAGGGACAGGGACACCCAGCCCGGGGACAGGGACAGGAACAGGGACAGGGACAGCCAACCCGGGGACAGGGACAGGAACAGGGACAACCAACCCAGGGACAGGAACAGGGACAGGAACAGGGACACCCAGCCCGGGGTTGGGGACAGACCATTGCTCGTGCACAGATGACCTTGAATGAAGGAAATCGTAAAGTATGAAATAAACGAACAAACGTTGTTCACGAACTGTCCATGAACAATTAAACAAACAGCTAATCTTGCTTTTCTAGGCGAAAATGGTGTGGCATGACGGCACTTAGAAAGTTACAAAAAAAAAAAAAAACACGGTGACTATAAACCAGTAAAACGCCTTTTGGGCGAAGAACGAGCGAGCGATATAGTGAGCCCTGCACGTGCGGAAGGGCGAGAGGGTACTTCCAACGGGCTTGCGCAAAGAACCCTTCTAACCGGTCGCTAGCGGTGTACCAAATTTGAACGCAATCGGCCCAGCCGTTCCTGAGATCTGGAAGCGGCATTCTGCACGTTCGCACGTGCAAACGGGGTCCAAACTGACTTTTGGACGGTACCCTACTAACTGGTCCCCAACCGTGTACCAAATTTGAGCGCAATCGGCCCAGCCGTTCTCGAGATCTGGAAGCGCCCCCTGCACGTGCGCACGTGCAGTAACACCTTAACCGCAACACATGGGAATGCATTGTCTGGTGGGTGCCTACCTGTATGCCAAGTTTCAGCGAAATCGCCCCAGTAATTACCGAGTTATTAAAATGGGAACAAATTCGACACCTCTTATTATTGTATTTTGCACGTGCACTGGGGGTGACCCACATGCATCGAGAGTATCCTATTTTTGGTAGAAGGGATGCTGCTACCCTACAAAAATTACCGCAAGCCAATCGCCCAAGCGGCTGCCGAGATATGAGCCTCTCAAAATCACTACTTTTGCAAAACAGCTTCAACACCCTTGACTTTTCACGTGGCACGCGCCACGACGGTCACTGAGATGTATCAAAAGTAGTCCATTACGGGGTAGAAGGGATGGGGCTACCCAACAAAAAAGACCGCAGGCCAATCGGTCCAGCGGTTGCTGAGATATAAGCCTCTCAAAAGCGTTACAGGCCGGGCCGGGCCGGGCCGCTCATACTGAGATTTTTCCGTTATTACGAGCGAGCGAGCGCAGCGAGCGAAGTGAGTCTTTTCAATATAACGGAAAAATCTCAGTATGAGCGGCCCGGCCCGGCCCGGCCTGTAACGCTTTTGAGAGGATTATATCTCAGCAACCGCTGGACCGATTGGCCTGCGGTCTTTTTTGCTGGGTAGCCCCATCCCTTCTACCCCGTAATCGACTACTTTTGATACACCTCAGTGACCGTCGTGGCGCGTGCCACGTGAAAGGTCAAGGGTGTTCAAGCTGTTTTGTAAAAGTAGTGATTTTGAGAGGCTCATATCTCAGCAGCCGCTTGGGCGATTGACTTGCGGTAATTTTTGTAGGGTAGCAGCATCCCTTCTACCAAAAATAGGATACCTACTCTCGATGCATGTGGGTCACCCCCAGTGCACGTGCAAAATACAACAATAGGAGGTGTCAAATTTGTTCCCATTTTAATAACTCGGTAACTACTGGGGCGATTTCGCTGAAACTTGGCATACAGATAGGCACCCACCAGGCAATGCATTCCCATGTGTTGCAGTTAAGGTGCTACTGCACGTGCGCACGTGCAGGGGGCGCTTCCAGATCTCGAGAACGGCTGGGCCAATTGCGCTCAAATTTGGTACACGGTTGGGGACCAGTTAGTAGGGTGCCGTGCAAAAGTCAGTTTGGACCCCGTTTGCACGTGCGCACGTGCAGAATGCCGCTTCCAGATCTCAGGAACGGCTGGGGCGATTGCGTTCAAATTTGGCACACGGCTATCGACCGGTTAGAAGGGTGCTTTGCGCAAGTCCGTTGGAAGTACCCTCTCGCCCTTCCGCACGTGCAGGGCTCACTATCTCGCTCGCTCGTTCTTCGCCCAAAAGGCGTTTTACTGGTATTGAAAAGACTCACTTCGCTTGCTGCGCTCGCTCGCTCGTAACCAGCAAAATTCAAAATTGCATCCGCGCCAGTCAGAACAAGCGTTGGATCCGGAGGTTGGCAGTTGGCACTCGCCATGGGATATTAATTTTTGAAATTTGCTCGTGTTGGTGAACGGTGAACCGAGCTGCGGTCTGCGGTATTTACAACCAGTAAAACGCCTTTTGGGCGAGGAACGAGCGAGCGATATAGTGAGCCCTGCACGTGCGGAAGGGCGAGAGGGCACTTCCAAAGGGCTTGTGCAAAGCACCCTTCTAACCGGTCGCTAGCAGTATATCAAATTTGAACGCAATCGGCCCAGCCGTTCCTGAGATCTGGAAGCGGCATTCTGCACGTGCGCACGTGCAAACGGGGTCCAAACTGACTTTTGCACGGCACCCTACTAACTGGTCCCCAACCGTGTACCAAATTTGAGCGCAATCGGCCCAGCCGTTCTCGAGATCTGGCAGCGCCCCCTGCACGTGCGCACGTGCAGTAGCACCTTAACCGCAACACATGGGGATGCATTGCCTGGTGGGTGCCTACCTGTATGCCAAGTTTCAGTGAAATCGCCCCAGTAATTACCGAGTTATTAAAATGGGAACAAATTTGACACCTCTTATTGTTGTATTTTGCACGTGCACTGGGGGTGACCCACATGCATTGAGAGTATCCTTTTCTTGGTAGAAGGGACGCTGCTACCCTACAAAAATTGCCGCAAGTCAATCGCCCAAGCGGCTGCTGAGATATGAGCCTATCAAAATCACTACCTACTTTTGCAAAACAGCTTGAACACCTTTGACTTTTCACGTGGCACGTGCCACGACGGTCACTGAGATGTATCAAAGGTAGTCTATTACGGGGTAAAATCTTTCATCTTTTATTGCATTTTATCATCACCTGTTTTACTGACGACGGGCAGTAATAGCCACATGTCATAGGCGGCAGATCGGGGAGGGCACCGGGGCACCGTGCCCCCCTTTGATCTTGTCATTTCAACATTAGCCCTATGAGCGTTGCATGAAAATAATAGGACCAAAAGTCGGCAGTGCCCCCCCCCCCCTTTAAAGGTAGTGTGCCACCTTTGAAAGATTTCCCATTTTATTTTTCCTAGGATAAGAAGCTTCTGTTTTTACCTAATATCGCAAAAAAAAATCAAAAATGGGCCTGGAATAGTGCATTTTTCGCCTAAAAGTTTTTCGGTTTTTAGATATGTATAACAACTGTAGTGGGCTCACCTGTAAACAGGCGTCGGGCAACAATCGCGAATGCGGCGCACTTGTGACAATAAGCAAAGGTCATTATAGTGTTACGACCATACGACGTACGGGAATGAGTTATCAGCTGTCTAATCGTAGACAACACAATGTCGAGCCTTAAACTGTAAGCCCGTATTGGTATTGTTTCTTTTATTTGGCTGTCGAACATTATTTATGGTTTGAAATATGATTTTATGTAAAATAATTGATATAAAAAAGCCGTCTTATAAGTTATGACCCCATTTCACCACACGCAAGTGGCAGAAATGACAATGATCAGCTGACGCATTTTTCTTGGCCGAAGTCAGAGCGCGCGGCCCGACGCACCACGCGTATTTGGAAATTCCGACCTCGACGAGCATCAGAAGCCACCTAACAGGCGTGTTCGAAACCGCAGGAGATGATGATGAACGGGTTTATCGAAACTTGATTGGATGAGCATATCGGTAATAGCGATTTCAGTGTGTGCATTTATTGTTCATAGTGGTGTGAAATGTGGTTGGGGTACGACCGACAACCCGTCGGGGCGAATTTCGCACTGGGGTACTCAAAATTTGAAGAATTTAAGACGTTTCCATGAGTTTTGAAGGTATGGATAAGTTCTAAAAATCCGGTTCTCCTTATCTGGGCCATTAACTCCATACGGTCCAGGAAAGCTGGCACACTACCTTTAATTGAAGGTGTCCCGCCGCTACCGCCACATGTTCCAGTGGAATGTCCTGAATAACACAGACTGAGCTATGCTTGACACCAGGAGCTCGCCAAGATCGGGTCCTACAGGCCTTACAGCCTAAAAAATCCCGTTACCGAAAGGTAAGGTAATATATTGTCTATTGTCTATTGTCTATTGTAAAAGGGATGGGGCTACCCAGCAAAAAAGACCGCAGGCCAATCGGTCCAGCGGTTGCTGAGATATAAGCCTCTCAAAAGCGTTACAGGCCGGGCGGGCCGCTCATACTGAAATTTTCCCGTTATATTGAAAAGACTCGCTTCGCTCGCTGCGCTCGCTCGCTCGTAATAATCGAATCGGTTTTGGCCGCCATCAAGGCCGTATAAGAGGCCGCCATTGTGCTGGTTGAGCTTGGCTTGTTCGGATGTGGTGTGCGCACGGGGGACGGCCGCGCTCAGGGCTGGCGATTTGGATTCGCCGTTTGCTGCCTCGGCTACCCTTGGTATGTGTGTGAGTGGTTTTTGGCCGCCATCATGTTGCTGATGTTGTCGCCAATACACGGCAAAGAGTGAACGCCTCTGCCTGCTGCGGCCGGTGGCAGCCCGGAGCAGGTCCGGAGTTCATTTGAGCGAACATGTTTTTCGCATCTCAAATCACGTGCATGTGCATTGAAGGCACTTTAAACGACCGGCAGCAGGTAGATATAGGTATATGTACATGTGGCTGACAGTGGACAGCACAGGCGTCAGCTGTGCAGGTGCCGGGTGCACTGGGCGCGCGGGCGGCTCACTCACAGAGCTGCATGTTGCGCACAGAGAGCGACTGGCTGGCGGCGCCGTGCTTCAGCACCCGCTCGAAGAAGACGCCCGCGTAGCCGCTGGACATGCAGAGCGCCAGCACGGCCAGCAGGCCCACCAGATGGTTGGTGTGCCGGTGGCGGCCGTCCGCGGCGGCTGTCCTGTCCACCTGCCCACGTCAGCGGGGGGGGGGGGGGGCACTCAGCAGCTGACCACAGCCGGGCCGCGGTGGCCGTCCTGTCCACCTGCCCACGTCAGCGGGGGGGGGGGGGGCACTCAGCAGCTGACCACAGCCGGGCCGCGGCGGCCGTCCTGTCCACCTGCCCACGTCAGCGGGGGGGGGGGGGGGGCAGAGTGATGCAAAGGGGGTTCACGAGTGGCCATAAATACCAAAAAGTCAAGTTTACCAAACCGAGTAAATCGCGATATGGCCAACCAAAGAAATGTTTGGGGCATCTGAAACCACATAGCTTTTATGTTTTTGTCAAAACCGGCCTCTTGTGTGATTGTCAGAAGTCGTGACATTTTCTATGTCGTAAAATGACTGGCAGATACTCGCAAGTTCAAACGCCGCTAGCGTGCGTTCATTAAATAAAAACTGCAAACATTATGCATGGCAATGATCCCTTAAGCCTGCTGAGTGCTGCTTCTAATGGCGGGTCACAAAAAGCCGTACCTGTTTTGGTTTTGCCGTGATCTAACCATCTGTCATCATGTTGCAATCGCAGTTTTTTGCTTAAAATTATTTGCTTTCGTTTTACCTACAGCAGTTTACACAGTGTGTGCCCGTCAGTCCATTATGTCTTAGCCTTCCCCAATCATTTTTGAGCCGCACAGTGAAATAATTAACCCGCGCCCCGTTGGGCTCTGCCGAGCAACGCGCCCTGTTGGGGGGGGGGGCAATTTGCCCCCCCCCCCTAAGATCTCGAGAACCACACAACCTAGCGACAAGCGATAAACGATGTTAGATAGCCCCATCAGGGAACTACCTTGTGACCCAATTTTATTGACCTAGGTCAAACTTATGACGTCACAGGTCAGGTCAAAGGTCAAATTTTCACCGTTTACAGGCATTTCAAGAAATGCGCTGTAAAATCGAGTAAAATGCATTTCATTGAAAATCATCGATGGGGAAATGTTCTTCAAACACATATTTTGCTATTTGAGGTCACTGATACCAGGTCAGATCACAGAGGTCAGGTCACTGAGGGTCACAATATGAAAATATCATGTGATGCATGTATTATGGTTCATTTTATATGCCAAATACGATCATGTGGGTCACACAGCCTTTGGGGTCAGTTTAGATTATGTTCTGGTGAAGGTCAGGTCAAGGTCAGGTAAAAGTCAGGTCAAATTAGGTCAAATTTCAAAGTTGATATTTTTGCATAAAATGGGTATCGATTCGATGCAGCTCGTCAAGGGGAGTTCAATGGTGGTCTTTGTTTTGCCCTACGTGGTCTAGAATCGCAAAAAATTGAGTTCAAAATTTGACGTCATCATTTTTGAACAGTTTTTTCGCTATAACTTGGCCAAAAAAAAAACAAGATATCGATCTGAAATTTGGTAGGTATGTATATAGAAGAGTGCAGGGACTATCAATTATATTCCGTTTTTTTAATTCGGATTTTTTGAGTTTTTTTTTCTGAAAAACAATTGATTTTTTTAGTTTTTTTTTTCTAAAAAATCAATTTTTTGACTTTTTGGGGGTCAAAAACCCAAAATTTTGAGAATTCGAGACAGCAGTGTTGTAGCGCCGCTTTTTGTCTACATGACCATATAAAGAACTTTGAAATCGCTTGGTAACTTTAGATTTGGTGAGCGTTTCTAGATTGCAGTACTTATTTTATGGAGCTAAGTACAGGGTGTCTCAAAAGTTCGTTTACACATTTCTCATTCTAATAAAGCATATAAGAACCGGCCAAAAATCTAAGATTTTGGTATCTGTGTGTACACTAGACAAATATGGCATGCATTGACAACTGATTCGGAAGGTTGGAAACCAAACTCTTTGCTGCATCTCCAAAAATATTTTCCGCTTCCCCTTCGAGCTGCCAGCAAACATAGAGACAATTAGCTATGCTATGCGTAACCAATCTCAGCGCCAACCTCACAACCAAGTCCCTCCAGGAAAACACTGTAGCTGTACAAAAAGGGGCTATTGGTATATTCAGCCCAAATGAACACGACACAAACATACTAGCAAGTATACATGTCTCAACCGAGACTGCCCTGCCAACGGGCCGCCACTCCTCCCCCCGCGCGGCGCAATGGTGTCCCCACCCATTCAATACATCCACCCAGACACCAATGCGCCAAAATAAAAACACCCCCTTCCCGAGACCAGCAGACCGAATGGGGGATACAAATTAACACAAAAGACCTCTAGTCGCCGCCAGTGTCGAGACCAGTGGCAGAACCCACCCAAATACGTGCTTGGTTGAAGGTAGGTAATTATTTCCTCAACCTGGCCCGAAGCTTACCAGAAACGCCACGATCCCTAAAACCTGCCAACATGAATGTGAGCGATACAGCAGTCACCAATGAAGAACAATATTACGGCATTACAGCAGCCCTTACAGCAGGACTAACAACCATTAGCATTAGCCACTACTGCGATGATAGCCTCCACCAACTAAAGGCCCTCGATATACCCGCCGAAAAAAACAACCATCCATGAGTTCTGAGGCATCTGACAACAGAAGCTGTATATTCCTTTACCTTGAACCCTATGCACATGCCTATCAGCGCGACCATTAATTTTCCCAGAACTTTGGAAGGGGTTAGAACAGCATTAACGAAGGTCGTTGACAGCCGCCCAGCAAAAAAGGGGAGGGCTCTCACCCGCTCCAGGAATCAGCGCTCTAAGCCGCCGTAAGGACACCCGCGCTATCGGGCGTCCTAGCGGCAGCTACCTACGGGTAGACTAGCGAGCCGCCCCGTGTCCGTTGTAGAAGGTGCAGGAAGAATGGAGCATCCCGGGCAGCACCCGAGGCCATGAGAAACGGCTTCCCCGGGCAGACTAACGAGCTGCTTTTTTCTTTTATTATTGTTTTTGTCATTGTTAAATTATTATTATTGTTGTTATTATTATTATTGTTATTATTAATGCTATTATTTTAGCGCCGCCCCTTAAAAAAACATGGAAACCCATTGGTTGTTAGGCAATTGAAAACAGAGGCCGCAGCTACTGTTACGTGTACCTTAGCCCCTGTGCTATACGTGGCAATGATAACGACCATGAATGTTACCTAAAATTTTGCAAGGGGTTAAAACAGTGACCACGAGACTATAGGTAATCAGGTCATAGATAGCCGACCAGCAAAAAGGGGAGAGCTCTCAGCGCGCGCCGGCATCAGCATTCTAAGCCTCCGGAATGACGCCTGCGCTATACCGGCGTCCTGGCGGCAGCCACCTCCAAGCAGACGAGCAAGCCGCCCCGAGGCCGTTGTAGAAAAGTACATCCTCGGCAGACTAGACAGCTGCCCCGAGGCCGTTATAGAAGGGGACACCCCCGGGTAGACTAGCGAGCTGCCCCGAGGCCGCTGTAGGAGACACCCCCGGGCAGACTAGCAGGCTGTCCCGAGGCCGTTGCAGGAGAGGACACCCCCGGGCAGACTAGCGAGCTGCCCCGCGGGGTCGTTGTAGGAGGGGACACTCTGGGGCAGACTAGCGAGCTGCCCCGAGACCGTTGTAGAAGGGGGCACCCCGGGCAGACTAGCGAGCTGCCCCGAGGCCGTTGTAGGAGAGGACACCCCCGGGCAGACTAGCGAGCTTCCCCGGGGTCGTTGTAGAAGGGGACACCCCCGGGCAGACTACCGAGCTGCCCCGGGGTCGTTGTAGAAGGGGACACCCCCCCCCCGGGCAGACTAGCGAGCTGCCCCGGGGCGTTGTAGAAGGGGACACCCCCGGGCAGACTAGCGAGCTGCCCCGGGGTCGTTGTAGAAGGGGACACCCCGGGCAGACTAGCGAGCTGTCCCGGGGTCGTTGTAGAAGGGGACACCCCCGAGCAGACTAGTGAGCTGCCCCGGGGTCGTTGTAGAAGGGGACACCCCCCGGGCAGACTAGCGAGCTGCCACGGGGTCGTTGTAGAAGGGGACACGGGACACCCCCGGGCAGACTAGTGAGCTGCCCCGGGGCGTTGTAGAAGGGGACACCTCCGGGCAGACTAGCGAGCTGCCCCGGGGTCGTTGTAGAAGGGGACACCTCCGAGCAGACTAGCGAGCTTCACCCGGGACTTGCAGAATCGGGCATCCCAAGATTCTCCGAATGTTCAGGACAATTACCCGACCCGAATACCAAAAATACCCGTTCTTGAAATCTGATAGTATCCGCATCACCCGCCACGGGCAACAAGCTTGCCTTTCCGCGAAGCTCCGGATTGATAAGGGACCAAATGACCGGCATACAGACAGCCCCTACGCTGTAAACTAAAACAGGCCAATATGGGTTGCCGTTGCTTCCCAGCTCGACACGTTTTGGAGGTGTTTACTGCCTCCAAACGCCGAGCCGGCTCAATGTCACCCATAGAAGGTACAGTAACTCACCCACCAACCAACCATAGGCAGGTCCTGAGTGACGTCAACCCTGATGCTGGCGAGGGGTACCCCGTACCAGTGCCCCAAAATTTGTTGATTTAGGTTGGAAACGACATCCAAATGAAAATCACTCTTCACTCGCCTCCATTTTTAAGCCCATTTTCCACTCCCAATTTTACCAAGAAAAAGCATTTGCATGGATCGATAGCCATTTTACTTCCCACATACCAGCCTTGTATTAAATTTTGCTGTACATTCTTCTTCCACTCTTTTTAGGCCTTATCTGACCATCAATTTTCCACCCTTATCCCTTATTTGGTGAGTAATTTTCATATACCCGGGAAACAGGGGGGCAGCGGGGGCGCTTGCCCCCCTCCCAACCTGAGAGCCGAGGGGCGGCGCCCCCTCAACATTGAGGCAGCGAGAAAGGACCTTCCCTCCCTTTTCCGGACTTCTTGTTTCCTTTATACACCTAAACATAAACACACGGCATTTTCCTTGCCATCTGAATGGTTTCTGCTGTTACAGTATCGATTTGACATCTGCTGTTGACATCCCGCTTTTGTTTGGGCCTGGCCTTGGCCATAAGTTTGGCAGGCCAGCTTTTACACTGGACCATTTTGAGTCAACCTCGAGAAATACCTAAAGTACAACTGTGGTAAAATCGTTGCTACAGGCATAACACAGTTTACCCGCTCCGGGTGTAAGGGAGGGGTGTGGGGCAATGAGTGCACTGACGTGGCGCCCTTGGAAGGCCGGTATGGGATTAAAAGCTCAGCGACCCTAAGCGCTTGTATGGTACCTTCGGTTATCGTTAGCATCCTCAGAATCACCGGCGTAGGGCCCTAAGAGCCGCCGGTAAGGGGCCTTTAGAGGCACTGGTGTGGGAATGTCATGCAGGTGCCGGTGTGGGCGCTCAGAGGTGCTAGTGTGATTCTCTCAGAGGCGCCTAGCAACCTAGCAACGCATACTGACTTACTTCATTTTAGCTTTAATAATAGTACCTGACCTGTATTGTTCAATGTTCATTCGCTGTTTTGCAGGAGAAAGGTCATATCATATTCTATAGCGACAAGTAGAAATAATTTGCTAAGAAATAGACCGCTTTGAAGATAGTTACAGACGATTTAACAACCCTCAGCAGCAGCAGCAAACCAAGGTTGGAAACACGTCTAACGTTAGAGTTGACTAAATTTCATTTTTTATCTACGGGCTCCGCCTAACGACTTTATCACAATTTTATTACTATCATAGTATCTTACTTTCCACCAGCATTGCCCTCATGTCCCTTTTGGTGGAACCAAATATCCCCTCAAAAATGCCGATATCGCCCATGCCCAAGCGTTCACTATCCACCCTATCGGGTCCCCTAGAACCTCTATTAACATATGCACCGGGCCCCGTACATGGAATAACGTACCTTTCAAAACCCCGGCCACCTTGGCCTATACCTGACGATGTCCCGTAAGACCTGCTAGGCAGCACCACTGAAGCAAGATGAGCTGGGAGGGGCCGGAACTCCCCCAGCTGACGTGGGAGCTGTGAAGGAAACCTCCAGCGGCCAAAGAAGACTCTGGCAAAGCGGGCCGGCCCCGCCGAGTGTGCCGATCCGTCGCCGTTCAGAGTCGGATGCCAACCACCAAGCCATGGAAGAAAAAAAACAGATTGTGTCACATAGCCATTTTTAGCCGAAATCTCGTATCAATAGGGGCAATATACCTAGAGCCATTTATCTGACAATGCGTGTGATGAGATATCGGCAGGATATGCATATTGCAGATGTCGCTTATGCATGCCACGGCAATGCTCTATTGACCAACTACAAGAAAGGCACCTCACTCTGGCAAAAAAAAAAGATTTACAAACGTCACTACCATAAAAAACGAAACACAGTTAACTCGTACCTCAATGCAGAGTTAGAGCCACACAATCACGGGCTACCCTAAAACTGCATCCTAGAAAATGGCACCTACTGCAGCCTTTAAACATGGGTGTGAAAAGTTCCTGTGGGTAATAGCCTGTAACTTACTATGCTATCGCTAATGCATCCCAAAACCACCTTACATAAATCCCCCTCTAATCCATAATATCCTAGTCCGCCGAGGCTTATCACACCCAACCTGGGTTCCACTGTATCACCTCTGTACCTCTGTATCACCCACTAAACCTTTCATTCCAACCTATCAACACCAGATAACAATACCATCTTAGACCAATACCATTGCATTGGTTATCCTTACAATGAACTCCATTTACCCTCTCAAGTCTCACCCGGTAGTTGGTACCCTTGTTATCAACAATCCCTAACCCACTATTGAAAACCCCGCTCGGACACGCTCGGACAGAGCCAACATCACCAGCAGCTCATTCTCCACGGGGTACGCCCACCTGGCACACCTTACGCCAGTAACCGTTCACCTGTATGGGAACCACAGTTCAACCAACACCAGGCACCACAAAACGGCAATTTTACCAACTCTCTGCACAACCACCGGCCAACACCACGTGGCCACCAAACCCTACGCCGGCCAGGCCGTGCACTCTGAGCTGCTACACCGAGAAAGTATGAGCTGATTTCACTCGCACGGAGTGTAGAATGGCAAAGTCCGGCGCTCCGTTCCAGGGAAGAAAAAAAAAATAGTTACAGCTATGTTTCACCTAGCAAATACCTACACTCAATCTCGCAAAATCTGAAAAAAACACAAAGCCTATTTCTACCAGCAGTCCAAGTTTCGTTGTTTCATCTAACCTTCAAAGAACCTATAATACCGGGCATTTGCAGACCCATTGCTCATCGACCCTCTTCTTACCGTGATAGCATAGCATAAGCACAAAAATAACCAAACCTAATGCCGAAAATGAAAAAAATCAGACAAACAACAAACCAGTAAAAAAATAAACATAAAAACCCCGAAAGGAAAAACATCCTCGTCAATCAATATAACATTGATATAAAACCGAACTTATACTCCCCTTGATGTCTTCCAGTTTCCACTGAACACGACCGCAGTAAACGCAAAAACATTTCAGAGCGAGAACACTGCTGACTTGCGTCAGACCGGGCGGCTTAGAACAGTGACCGCGCAAATGCACTCAAACCCCGCGCCGTCACGGTCACGTGACACGAGTCGCTCCACCAATCAGAGGAGGCCGCCGCCTTAGCGGCCTCGCCGCCCGGGGGCGCAGGCGGCCGCCCGCCTGCCGCCGAACGCTGCTCGCAGAGGCCGGCCCGGCTCCGGGGCCGCCCCAGAGAAGACGCTCGTAGTGTCGCGGAAAAACCGGTTATATCTTGTCATATATAACCGGGCGTATTTGCCCATACCGATTTTTGTCGCTCCGTCAGCTGCCGGAGGCTGAAAAAGGTTACCAGCTTTCAAGCTCTTGTAGGGGAATCCCCTGCAGTTTCTGCGTCGAATTTAGGTTTGACGAGCTCTCCGGCAACATCCGCTTCTCCCTGAAAGCCGACAGCTTGCATCGACACCATCCGTGAGTATTTTGTAGGTCTTCTTTGGCGCTAACTCCTTCATGAATGACTGGCGCCGACCTCCCAAGCATCATTTTCCTTTTCAAAACAACCCCATTCCTGAACAAATGGGAAGTGCCAGGGGCAATTTTTTCGCAGCATATCGTAGCAGAATGCGTCGGCCATCTGTTTCTTAGACACATTTGCAAATTTTGCAAATCCCAAACGCTCTTCATTCCCCATGCCGAGACCTTCGCTGGGTTGCGGAGTGTTTTCCTCAGGAGAGGTTCTGCTTTGTAAACGGCCAAAACCTGTCCATCGTGCGGTTTTGTTGGGATTTTGTATCTAAAAGAAAGCCATTTGCTCCAGATCTGCCTCTTGAAACTTCGTAAGATAAAACTTTACATTAAATGACACTTTTGGAGGGTCAGTTGCCTTGGCATTGACGATTTTCGTGTTATTTTCCCCAAAAATTTAGCGTTATAGATATTATAAACAATTTCAAAATGATTCTTTGTCTTTATCTTATGATGACCTGCAATTTTTGAAACTGGATAACTTCTGTCTGTGAGCTTCTGCTCAGTTTTCAATAGTTATGACCGCATTTTCAGCTGCTTTCCGGAGAACGAGCCTGCTGCCGTACGAAGGTCGTTCAAAACGCTGTTAGTTTCGCATGTTTTCGTCCTTCACAAATTTTAGCCACCGTTTTTATCAGATGATCATTATGTTGTACTCATCCTCGCCGACACTTTGCCATGTGTCATTTCCGACTTAACCATTCCCATTACTCCTGAATCAGAGAGTTTCTCAGCCGACCCGATTTTGCAACCTCCATTTTCATGCCTGACCCATGGTCAGAGGTGAACCCTTTTTGTGAGCTCATGAAGGGTTGAATGCGCTTAAAAACAATGCGACTGCTGGGGGAAGGCTGTTACCAATGCTCATGCAAAATTTCGACTGTTAATTTCTCGTTGATTCAGAATTAATAAAAAAGCATGGCCGGTACCTGTCAACGAACTTTTGAGACACCCTGTACAACATTGTAAAGTTTCCTTTAAGGTCTGTATGTTGTCAGGTAGCAGATTATTATATTTAGGTAGCGTCAAACGTGAACGTAGGTAGTCCATTGTTCCTGCTTCGTTGCAAATCAACTGACATGCCAAAAATGACAGCGTAAGAGAGAAAAACGCAGATGTCCAACAGCTTGCGGGAAGACCATGCGCGCAGACCTTCTTATTTTACATTTTATGTCGCGTTTAGAAGCGGATACTTTTTGACACTCAAAGTGAAACACCCGTTTTTATAATTGTTAGGCTAAGGTGATTGAATATGAAATTATTGTTTGTCTTAAATGGCTGCCGGTTGCTATACATAAAAGTTGTCTAACTGGTTGCTGTTATCCGGTTCGATTCTATTATCCAGGACCAGACTGACAATATGAACTCAATCACTAGCCAGCCGTCCGCCGAACAGAACACCGCCGGAGGGAGCGCGCGGCGGCCAGCGCGAGCGGTGCAGCGACCCGGAGCCGGCTCGGAGCTCACCTGGACCAGTCCGACGCCGACCACTAGCACCAGCAGCGCCACCCACTGCACGGCGCCCACGCGACGCTTCAGCATCACCGACGACATCAGCGCCGTCACCAGGATCTTCAGCTGGTACAGCACCTGCCCGGCAGCGCCTGCAGTCAGCGCACTGAGGCAACCAACCACCTGGAAGGTGGGCGGTCTGTCTCACCTGGAAGGCGGTCTGTCTAACCTGGAAGGTGGGCGGTCTGTCTCACCTGGAAGGTGGGCGGTCTGTCTCACCTGGAAGGTGGGCGGTCTGTCTAACTTGGAAGGCGGTCTGTCTCACCTGGAAGGCGGTCTCTCTAACCTGGAAGGTGGGCAGTCTGTCTAACTTGGAAGGCGGTCTTTCTAGCCTGGAAGGTGGTCTCTCTAACCTGGAAGGTGGGCGGTCTGTCTAACTTGGAAGGTGGTCTCTCTAACCAGGAAGGTGGGCGGCCTGTCTCACCTGGAAAGTGGCCTCTCTAACATGGAAAGTGGTCTCTCTAACCTGGAAGGTGGGCGCGTCCAGGTTGGTGAGCGCCACGAACACCAGGTTGTTCTGGATCGTGTAGAGGAAGCTGGGCACGGCGAGCTGCGCCGTGTCGCGCGGCTGGCCCCAGACGTCGCGCCGGAGCAGGGCCGCCGTGCGCGCCACCGACCGGCCTGCAATCAGAGACACGTCCACAGAGAGCACTCGTCAGCCGGCTGACAGGCCGCACTGCAGGCCAGCTGTCAGACACCGGGGTAGGGGCTCCGCCACAGGGGGGTACGCGGGGGTCCGGACCCCCCCAATAATTTACCTGGGGGTACAGTACCCCCCAATATTCCTATACCTACAAGCTTGTTTTCGCGTAAAAATGACTAATTCATTCACAAAATGTGTTGAATAATTTAGAATGTGTTGACAGTCGCAAAGCTAAGGAATTTAAGATCAAGAAATGTAGGGAATCCTTAAAATGTTGTGACACACGATTCAAAAGGTGCTCAACATTCGCCGACCTATGTATATGTACGGAAGTGTCACTATTCTACCATTTTGTTATTTATACTATGAAGAATACGATGAAGATTGCTAGGATTTAGCTAAGCATGCTAGAGTTCGGCTATAATTTCATGAGAGGGGTCCAGCTTGAAGGACACCTCTTAGACACAATACCCTCCCCAAAAGAGCTTCAAATCGATCTGAGAATCCTCTTCTTTCCATGTTGATGTGAGGTCACCCGAAAGTGTTGGGGGGGGGGGGAGGGTTAGCCGGTTTTTCGAGCACCATACTAGTCTAAGCAGCCTCGCACCATTCTGAGGTCATCTGCGATAATTTGCACAGGGCTCTGAATGCAAGTTGGTAGAGATAGCACATCTACAAGTCACAACTCTAACAGGATCCCCATAACCTGACCTTTGATTCAAGTGCAGCATTTCGATATCCATTTTCAGGTCAAGCTAGGTCACACTCTGATCACAGAGACTGGATGTCAGTCTCTAAGGACCCCATACTGCTATATCAGGGCAGGACTTGCAAATCCCTACGACCCCTAAAGCCCTGCGCTTTCCTTTAACTACGGCCTTGGAGGACCCGACACTGGCCTAAGAGCCTACATAGATATCTGAGCGCCTATGAAGGCCCCTGAATTCCCAAGCACATGCCAGTCACTGAGAGCCTAATGCGCTGTCTGATAGCTAACACCGCCCTTGGAGCGCGCAACAGCGGCCTCCATTCCTCAAGAACGTTGATTTTAGAGGCCGCCATGTCGGTGTCAATGGGCTCCGCTTCTCGATTTTCGATTCCGTGTGCAAGTTGAGCCTTGGCTTTTCGGTTTAGAGCAAAACTATCCCGATAAAATTGTTAAGTTTTCTTTGAACTCTAGAAAAACGACAACTTTTCATCGATTTCGGGAGCTGCAGAGTGCGGGGGAGGGGGGTGAATTCGCCCAAAATGCCCACCCTGGATCCACCAGCCGGAGGTTTTGTGTTTTGGGCCGGACCCCTCCAATCCCAAAACCGTGGCGGAGCCCCTGCAGACAGGGGCATCTACAATGGGGCCGTGACCCGGCGCGCCGTGCTGTTTACTACAGTTAGTCGATAATGCACAATCAACACCTATGGAGCTACACGTCGGTTTAAAAGCTCGATTCAGACGGGAAGAAAATGCAACAAAGCGCCGACCAGCCTGCACGTCGGGGTTGCGCCGGCACTCGGCAGCACTTTGATCCTAACCGTGAAACCATGGAAAAGTAAACCTACGAAGTTTGATAGTTGATCATTGGCATTACGATGCTCTTGAATGACATCCGTCATCAGTACAACATTCCACGAAAAAGCACGATTTTTCATCGTCATAACTGTTCAGTGTTCATCATCATATTCGTAGTCACCATCATCAAGTAGGTAGTCACGTAGTCATCAAGGGTGGCCCAGCCAAGCTCACCCAGCGCTGGTGTTACACGGCCGCGTCGTCTAGGTCCAAGCATACTGCGAGCACCGGCATTGATAATCTCTCTACCCACCGAGCTTCGAAGTTCTAAAAGATGTGCTGTATGAAATACTGATGACCTCACATGACCCCTCCCGGTGCCCCTGTCAGTAAATGGCACTTGGGCCCAATCTTACCAATGCCGTGAATAGGATTTGGTAGCACTGGCCGGAGTTAACGGCACTGATATCAATGATATCCTTTTTATTTACATCCCGCTAATCTTGTCCAATGATTTTGATAGCGTGAATGATTATGAATGTTGCCTGAACGAATGAATAAGTGAATGTGGAATGCTTCTGAATGTTACCAAATGCCGTGAATGCGCATTCACGGCATTTGGTAAGATTGGGCCCAGGGTCATTACATATAGGTAAGACCAGTATAACGCCTTTTGGGGCGACTAACGGAGCGAGCGAGAGGGTGGGCCTTGCACGTGCGAAATTTCGACGGGGTACCTCCAGCTGACTTGTGCACGGCACCTTATCAACCGGTCTCTAGCGATGTGCCAAATTTGAGCACAATCGGCCCAGCCGTTCTCGAGATCTGGGAGCGGCACCCTGCACGTGCGCACGTGCAACATGGGTCCCAACTGACTTGTGCACGGCACCCTACTAATCGGTCCCTAACCATGTACCAAATTTGAGCGCCATCGGTCCAGCCGTTCTCGAGATCTGGAATCGACCCCTGCACGTGCGCACGTGCAGCAGCACCTTAACTCTGGCACATGGATATGCAGTGCCTAGTGGATGCCTACCTACATGCCAACTTTCAGCGCAATCGGCCAAGTAGTTACCGAGATATTGCAACAATTACAAAAGTGACACCTCTTCGTTTTGCACGTGGCACGTGCATAAGGGGTCACCCACATGTATCGAGAATAGTCCAATACGTGGTAGAAGGAATGAAGCTGCCCAACAAAATTTACCGCGTGTAAATCGGTCAAGTGGTTGCTGAGATATAAGCGTCGCAGAATCGTGACCACGGCCGGCCGGCCGGCCGGCCGCTCATATTCAGAAATTTCCGTTAATCTAAGGAAAGACTACGCTCGCTTCGCTCGCTCCGTAATAATCTGTCACCATCCTGAGAGAATTGGGTGGTTCCGACTCGTTTACTCGAAGCAGGCCGCATTTCAATATTTTTCCACAGGCTTGTAATGTAAAGATCACGACTCTGACCTGAACTCAGGCCGAATTTTGCATTTTTTTCCCTTGCATGACGTCATATAAGAAGTCGCAAAGGTTGTTTGATACAATCGTGAGGCCAAATCTGAGGACATCTTAGCGAAAATCTTGTTATGGAATGCGATTTTCCGCGGCGCTGTGACCCTGTTTTGTGATGAGGAATGAGCCGGTTTGTGAAAAAATATCAAAACGGTAAAAAAGCATCAGAAATTTGCAATTGATGACATCCAATGACTGCTGACTACCCAGTAAAAAATACCATTTGAAACCATTAGGATTTACCAATTGGTTTCAAATGTGTCAAATGGTTTGAAATAGGTTCTAATGGTTTTTATGACCATTTGAAATGGTTTCCAATTGGTAATTTCCCAATTGGTCTGAAATAGTGTTTTCCATTTGGTTCCAATTGGTTTTGAAATGGTTTCCTAATGGAAAATAAATCCCATTTGATTTCAAATGTTGTTTTCCATTTGATCCCAATTGGTTCCAAATGGAATAAAACCATTTCATTCCAAATGGTGTATCCCATTTGGTCCCAATTGGTATCGAAATGGTTTCCAATTGGTAATTTCCCAATTGGTCTGAAATGGTGTTTTCCATTTGATCCCAAATGGTATGTCCCCAATTGGTATCGAGATGGTTTCCAATTGGTAACTTCCCAATTGGTCTGAAATGGTGCTTTCCATTTGATACCAATTGGTTCCAAATGGAATAAAACCATTTCATTCCAAATGGTGTGTCCCATTTGGTCCCAATTGGTATCGAAATGGTTTCCAATTGGTAATTTCCTAATTGGTCTGAAATGGTGTTTTCCATTTGATACCAAATGGTATGTCCCCAATTGGTATCGAGATGGTTTCCAATTGGTAACTTCCCAATTGGTCTGAAATGGTGCTTTCCATTTGATACCAATTGGTTCCAAATGGAATAAACCATTTCATCCCAAATGGTGTGTCCCATTTGATCCCAATTGGTATCTAATGGTTTCCATTTGAAAGAAACTCCCATTTGATCTCAAATGTTTTTTTCCCATTTGATCCCAATTGGTGTCCAATTGGTCTCCAAATGGAAGAAAACCATTTCATCCCAAATGGTTGTCCCATTTCATCCCAATTGGTGTCGAAATGGTTCCGAAATGGAAAAGCAAATCTGTTTTGAAATGGTGTCTCTCATTCTATTTCAACTGGTGTCGAAAGGAAAAATGCATCTGAAAAACATTCAAGGGTCGTTTTAGGCAAGAAAAACATACTTATATGGCAATAACTTTTATTCCATGAGATGAATAAAAGCAAAGTCCGAACCGTAGTCGGAGCTGGAGTCAATTTTTGAGTCAGAGTCGGAGTTAGAGTCATAAATCCACCACTTTGCAGCCCTGTTTCCAGATGTGTGAGTTGTGACAAGTATGCTTCAAAAGTGTTTCTACCTTGATGGTCTCTAATGGTTTCAAGTGTGTTTTGAATACGGACTGGGTATCTATTAGTTCCCAATTGGTACCCTAATGGTTTCTAATGGTTTTTAAACATATACTTAAATAATAGACTTAGAGGTAATGGGATGACCTTTGACTGGTTATACTTGATAAGCATCACTACAAGGCCTTGGTTTTTCATTAGATAAAAATGATTCGCAAAATCCACGCCGTTTCCGCTCATTTAAAGGGACCATCCCACCTTAACATTAGTTTTGAGTTGAGATAGCCAAGTTTGCGGCCAGGCTCAGAAACCACCATTTATCCTGGTCGCAACCCCCGCAGCTTTATGGTGTTCAAGAAATTTCATCCCTTTACTTGCAGGGTGGGACCAGCTTAGTCCCTATCTCTTAACCATTAGCGGTTTTTTGATGACGTGAGCAGTCATTTCAACGCCCGCCATTCCTTGAACCCGAGTTTTGCTGACCTTGAGCTCCCTTTTTTATCAACGTGAAATCCGTCGTCGGCGCTGAGAAAGCCTGTTGCTTTTCATTTTAATTTGAATATTAGAAGATACCCACCACTGGAACTTGGACTGATA